GGGGGTTAAGGGTGTGGGGTCTCTTCCTGAAGTCCACTGTCATCTCCACTGTTTTGAGTGTGTTCAGCTCTAGATTGTTGTAACTACACCACAGGACCAGCTGCTCAACCTCCCGTCTGTAGGCTGACTCATCACTGTCTTGGATGAGACCAATGACCGTTGTGTCATCTGCAAACTTTAGAAGCTTGACAGAGGAGTCCTTTGAGATGCAGTTGTTGGTGTAGAGTGAAAACAGCAGAGGGGAGAGCACACATCACTGGGGGGCACCTGTGCTTATTGTCCAGGTGCTGGATGTGGTTTTCTCCAGCCTCACCTGCTGCTTCCTGTCTGTCAGAAAGCTAGTAATCCACTGACAGGTGGGGACAGGCACAGTGAGCTGGGTCAGTTTGTGGTGGAGGATGTCCGGGATGATGGTGTTGAACACCGAGCTGAAGTCCACAAAGAGGGCCCATGCATAGGTCCCTGGGGAGTCAAGGTGTTGCAGGATGTAATGCAGTGCCATGTTCACTGCGTCGTCCACTGACCTGTTTGCCCAGTTGGCAAACTGCAGGGGGTCCAGCAGGGGGTCAACGATGTCCTTCTGGTGGGCCAACATCAGTCTTTCAAAGGACTTCATGACTACAGATGTCAGGGCGTCAGGTCTGTAGTTGTTCAGTCCACTGATGGAGGTTTTCTTGAGGACTGGAATGATGGTGGAGCGTTTGAAGCAGGAGGGGACTTCACACAGCTCCAGTGACCTGTTGAAGATAAGTGTGAAGATGGGGGCCAGCTGATCAGTGCACACTTTCAAGCAGGAGGGGGTCACACCATCTATGAATAGAAGCTGTATGCTTCTCAGAGGAACCGTTTAAAAGATGAATACAAAAATGATCTCCTCTCTCCAGGACCTCTGCCACACTTCAGCTGTCCTCCAGTTAAGTTGGACTGTGTGACCTATTATCCATTCAGTCACTCATTAACTGATTAAAACGTTTTGTCTGTGTCTGTAAAATGAGCTCCTACTGATATTGCTGACTTTGTAAAGAATGTTGAACATGGGTCAAAAAGATGCATACAGTGACATATTTTCCTTTCTGTGCTCATAATGCTCACTTTCTCTGCTTTTCCAGTTTTCTGTTCTTACAAGTGAGCCCTCTCTGCTTGTCTGCCTCTCAGCTGTGCATCAGAGATGGAGCGGTGGGTGGAGGACATCAGAATGGCGATAGACCTGGCAGAACAGAGCAGCAGCCCGACCGCTGACCTGCTCCCCAGCAGCCTCTCTGACAGCAGTAAGTTATCAAAGGGAAACACACATGCTTCACAAGGGGTGTGTGGAGGTGAACTTCTGTCTTGAGCTTCTCTAACCTGCTGACTCCTCCTGGCCCAAATGTTGTTTCATCATCAGAGCACTACAGAACTGTCTGTAGGAACCAGAGCATTGAAGTGAGTCGCAAACATAGTAATTTATGAAAATATTTCCACATGGGATCTGTTCCAGTGTTTCCCACAGTGCCAAAATCTCCTATCTGAAGTTAATGAGACACAGAGACCTCACTGGAGGTATTTAGTCCCATCAATAAGGTCTTTCTTTAAGAGTAATGGATCAACCCTTTCCTGTAGATGTAACTGTGCAGTTCCCACAGGCTGGGAAGGTATTTCAGTTCTTGTCTTCTTGTTTCATTTTAACAGACAGCTGCTTTCAGCACCTCATGAATAATCTCACTGAATTGTTCCAGGTGGTCTTTCACCATATTTTTAATGTTATCTGATATATGTGGGCTCAGCCCCCAGCTGTTGTCCCTTACTTCTCTTCTTTTTCCATATCTTACACACCTGCCATGGTGTTCAATGAGGCCTCCACCTGCTGACCTCTGGTTTGACGTCTCCATTGTCTCACTGTTAAATCACCTGCTATGTAGACTTTTAACTCAGAGTATTGTGTGTGAGTATTGGCTTACAAATAGCAACAAAAAGGTCTTTTTCCTTCTTTTTGTGTAGATTGAATTGAAATTGCTTTGATCATTATTTTGTCTTGTTTGTCCTGTGTCAGAGTTTGTTCACCTGCACACATGGTTCAACAGGTTGTTACTGTGTTACTGCTCTGGTGAACTTGTACAGCGAGCAGCTGATACACAGGACATTAGTGAGTCACGAGTAACAGAACAGTCTCAACAACCAGTCCTTCAGCAGTAACAGGCATGCCTGTAATCTTTAATGCACATGTACACGTGTACATTAACACGATTGGTATTAGTGTGTTCTAGCACAGAAAACTAAACACAGAGAAGTGAATATGATAAAAATCTGCGCAACAAGAGCCCAGTTCCTTCTGCTAAGCATCTTATTTGACCTGGCCGTGATTCCCCAGAGCTGTTGGAGGACGGTGGAGCTGAGCAGGAGTCAGAGGAGGAGCTCTGCGGTTCACGATCATCTCTGGAGCGACAGGGTCACCGTGGTAACACCATCATGCACGTCTGCTGGCATCGCAACACCAGCGTGTCCATGGTGGACTTCAGCATTGCTGTTGAGGTACCACACTGTGTTTATGTCTCTTAACCATCCTTGCTCCACTCATCACGCTCCTGTTTTATTTTGTAGCTGTGTAGTCTCCTGGTGTTGTCCACAGTGTCTCGCTCTGTGTGTTGCATGTCCTTGTCTTCTTCTCCACAGGCAAAGGACCACTGAGCCTTTGTCTGATTTTTTTTCTCTCATGTCTGTCCTCTCTCCACTGCCCCTCCATCTTTATCCTTCCACCCTGAGTCTGTCCTCTGTCTGTTTTTTCCCCACCTCTCTCTGTTTATGCCGACTTTGATGGGGGCCAGTAGTCCGGACAGTGAGTCAGTGAGGCCCCTCAGCAGACTTCAGGGGCCAGTGCCTCTCTGTGGTTTGCTGGTACAGAATACTCTGCCTGTCTGCCTGGAGCAGAGAGGTACTGCAAGAGCAACCAACAATCATTTGGAGTATATGTGTCAAACTCAAGACCCACGGGCCACATCCAGCCTGGCTTACATTTATATTGGGCCCATGAGATGATTTTATATATGATATGAAGCGCCAATAACACACAAATCCCATAATGCAGTGCAACAGCTGCCTTACCGAACGATAGGCTACCTGCGATCATTCCCGTGTCAATTACGTCAGATCAATCAAGCGTCTGTTGATGTATACAACCCTAATTTCAAGTCAAAGCTAGTCCCAGCTCCATCTACACCTTGTGTATGTTTGGTAGCACATATCTGTGTGAGAAGCTGTTCTCTCTGATGAAGGTTAACAAAACATCACACAGGAGTCATGTCACTGATGAACACCTGCAGTCCATCCTGAGAATCTCTACAACACCGAACCTTACCCCAAACATAAAGGAATGTGTTGCCAAGCATCCATCTCTGCCAAAATGGCATAAGAGCAAAGGAAATGGAATGTTTTGATTTATTATTTTAACTTTTACTTAAAAGCAATTTTTTTTATATATTTTCAGGTTTTTTGCAGCATGTTCTTATTCTTTAATTTGTATAATTTTGACAGAAAGCAAAATATTTTAAGTTCTTTTAAGTTCAAGTTTACTTATTTTGGAATAACATTGTATCCTGTCTGTTTTGATTCATACTTATGTTCAAAAAAACGTTTAGTTTTAGTCTGTTCAATAAATGTTTATCCTGTTCGGCCCACGGCCTAAAGTGTGCTTTGAGTTTTGGCCCCCTGTGCGATTGAGTGTGACACCCCTGGTTTGGAAGATATAGTTTGTGCTTCTGATCAGATTTGTTATTTAGCCTATCCTCACTGATATCTGTGGGGTCAACAAAATAATAGAAACACCTGACAGTATGAGGAAAAGGCAGTTTAACAGCAACACAAATTAAAACCTCAAAATGATTATACAGTTTAATTAGCACCTTTCAAAAACAGAATATTATCACCTGCATGAAGGACCATTTAGTGTTGGATTATGCTCCATATGAGTCCCATTCTCTGAACAAAAACTTTTTATTGTGCAGATTCTGGTATCAAGACTATTCAATGTTGAATCTTTGCTGTACAAGCCACCAGGAAGTCCGTCCACCCTGCCAAACAAATCAAACGTGAAAAAAAAGACTATTCTGAACTTATGGCACCGTGCAATCATTTTAAAATTGTTTTTATTGTGCACGTTTATGTGCTCTTTTCTTCTAAACTGTCACTGTCATGTTGGATGTCAGAGAGTAGAAAATGAATTCGAGCTGGCTTTCACTTCACTGTATTTTTGCCCCCGTTTTAACATGATAATAAAAGTGGAGCCATTGTTTTACTTTCTTATGACTTTTGTTGCTTCCAGAACCAGTTGTCAGGTAACCTGCTGAGGAAGTTTAAGAACAGTAACGGCTGGCAGAAGCTCTGGGTGGTCTTCACCAACTTCAGCCTCTTCTTCTATAAGTCGCATCAGGTTAGTCAGAAAGCTGCACAATGAAAACTATTCGAGAGGGAAAATGGGAGATTGATTCTGTCTGTTTTCAGCTGACTGAGTGGTAAGTATGGTCAAAGTTCTGGTCTAGTACAAACATACTGGATAATGTGATTATTGCTTTGCGAAAATGAACCCTTCCTGAGTGTTTCCTGTTCCTGTGGCTGGCCTGCCTGCAGGACGACTGCCCTCTGGCCAGCCTTCCTCTGCTGGGCTACTCTGTCACCGTCCCATCTGAGTCAGAAAACATCCACAAAGATTACGTCTTCAAACTCCACTTTAAATCCCATGTCTACTACTTCAGATCAGAGAGCGAGTACACGTTTGAAAGGTACAGTATCCTGGAGATTCACTGATGGGAGAAGCTGCTCATTCTGCATCCAGCCTGCCTCTTGTTTTATTTAGAGCAGTGTTTCTGTGCACATTTCTGGCATATGAAACAAAATGTCTGTAATTAAGTAAACAGAGTAGTGTGGATTTCTACATTTGATCATGTTTTAGTTATATGTCATAAACAAAAGTATGCCACTGAATTGTAGCACTTAACCTGAAATGCAAATATAAACAAAAGCCAACACTGTTAGAAATATACATACATTTTCAACAAGTACAAATATGTGGTTACTTGATTTATGTCACTGTCCAAATTAGTGTTTTGTGTTCTTTAAATGTTCTCGTTGCCAGGTGGATGGAGGTAATCCGCAGTGCCACCTGCTCCGCCAGCCACTCCCTGCCAAGCACCAGGAAAGACCTTTACTGATGAATCCGACACTTACTCGGGGGGACCTGAACTTCAGACTACACAAACGATTTGTGTAGCAGGTCTATTCATGTTGCACTCAGCAGGTGCTCATAGACGCTAATTATTACCTCTGAACAGTCGAGTCACCCACTTCACCTTTTGTATCATTACACCGTCTCTGCACCACTGATGTCTGATTAGAGGCTGTGCTGCCACTCGTCCACCATGTGTTTCATGTCACTTGGTTTTCTTTGCCAAACTGGCAGAATTCAGTCTTGCTGATTTTTAGTTTTATGTCTGTGCAACTGATCATTGTTCACACACACATATTGATTAAATATTGACACCAACAACATCCCTGTTTACTGTATCTTTTTAATAAACCTGAATGAATTACACAGGATTTACAGGAAGTATTTGGGACAGTGAAGCATGAGTTTGTACACCTCTTAGTATTACTTTTTCTACTTGTGATAAAGAAATCATTGATTTGTACTATCCTAAATATTCCTGTAAAACTACACATTTGTTTTAGTTTAAAAAGTACATTAATTTCTTAAATAACATCTAAACCAGGATTTACTATATGTGTGCATGTGAACTCAGTCATTATGAGTGACTGTTGTTATTTGTATGACAGTCTATATCTAATTTGATGAATAAATGTCATGCCCATTTGGACACAATTAGAAAACATTGATCTGTTTCCTTTTGTAAGGTAACTTTGTATAGTACTGTTACACTGTGAAATGTTCTTCTCATTTTTTAAAATGTTTTTCTGCAAGTTTTGTCTTAAACAGATTTCACAACGCTTCCAGTGCCAACAGAGATTTTGCTGGTTTGTCAAATATCTTCTCTTCTGTATTCCTTCACTTTTGGATTTTAATATTTGAAATAAAAAGGACAAAAGATCATGTTAAGAAAACGAATCAGACATTTTTGTTTTGCATAAAGATGGAACGACGTTTCTCCACCACAAAAATAGTTTCCTTATCTCCTCTCAAACCAGTGAAATCCAGATCCTCTCCAGAGAACATCGCTGGTTTGAGAGAGGAGTTAAGGAAGCTATTTTTGTAAAAATGGAACACCCCTCACTAAATAGGAGTGGTGGACTAAGACACAACTTGTCATCCATCTACAATCCTGTTTTGAGATCTCTGCCCAAACATGCCCACCAGGACAATAGGCGTCAGTCGACAGGGGAGGATTCAAAGACAGGTAATGACTCTCACCGATACTGGGCTGTAACGACTCAGTCATTAGGGACATTGTTGGCCTTCAAAGGACTGAAACACCAGTCAGAACTGATGAAGCCTCTTGGATGAGAGGTGAAACGTCTTCGACCTAGAAATCTAAGTCCAGTTGATTTTTTCTAAGTTTTTTTCAGATTAAACCAAACTGGCACTACATAAGTCATCACCTAAAATAAATTCAGGAATGTAAAAATACAGTAGTTTATAAATTAGATGTCAATCAAATGTTAGAAATTAATAAATCAGTCAGATAATTATTAGACATTGTGTTAGACTTTAATGTGTTAGTAATGTAGTTTAGTAAGATTCAAAGTCTGCTCTAGTCTGCTCTGTTTCAAGGTTAGCAGTAAGCCATTACACCAATTGTTTTCTTCTATTAATCTTGTTAGATTTATGTCTGAATGAATGTTTTAGTTACACACCACGTAACAACACACACACATGGAGTTCTTCATTTTGTTATGACTAGGTAATACGCAGCTGCTCCAAGCCTGTGGAGCTCTAGATAAGAGATGGAGTCTGCGTGACGGACTTCATCTGTGTAAGGGATTAGCCCAAAAACTGATAAATGTATTAGGGTCTGTGTTTTAATTGAACCGATCTGAAGGAAGATGGAGTCCGACTTGCTTCATTTTAGTGCTGGTTTATTTTAAAAGCCACAATAAAAGTTACAGAAACAACTCGGGTAGCTCCCCGCTCCAGACAACTGCTGGAAGAAAAGAGTCTCCCGTGACAAAGAGCCTATTACATTTATAAGATTTTGGGCTAACCCCTTACACAAAAAGATATAAAAACATCACGAGTTGGAGACAGTCCGGCGTCTCCTTCTCATATCTTATGCTCCGTATGCATTGAGCGCTAGTCATAACAAGGTGAAGAATTCCATGTGCGTGTATGTTGTATACGTGATGTGTAACCAAAACATTCATTCAGACATAATTCTTACATAAGATTAATACAAGAATAATACAAAAATAACTGGTGTCAAGGTACACTTCTCAGAATCAACATTATCTTCTAACCTTGAAACAGAGCAAACTAGAGCAAACTTTGAATATTACTAAACTACATTACTAACACATTAAAGTCTAACACAATATCTAATAATTATCTGACTGATTTATTAATTTCTAACACTTGTGTTTCTGGGATCTCTTTTTCTGCTCTCTTCTCCAGCAGCTTGTCTGAAGGAGGGCGCCCTGGGTATGTGTCTCTCTCTCTCTCTATATATATCTATATCTATAAAAACCAGCACTAAAGTCAAGAAAGACGGACTCCTTCGTTATTCAGATCTGTCCAATAAAAGAACTGGGGTATTACACAAAGCTGTAATCGGTACCTTTTCTATTTTTAAATGTTGTGGTACTGACTTCAGACATCCTCTGTTCGCTCCATTAACAATATACGGAAGCAGATCAGTCCCGTGCTTCTCTAGCCACATACTGGAGTCCATGATCTCCATTTGCATCATAACTCTCATAGTTAGGCAGTGAGGGCCAGTCTGGCTCGTACGTATTCTTGGTGTACACAAACGCCTCTGTGATGTCTCCCAATGACAGCGTCTCCTCTCCCTCTGTCTGGCCCACCCACTCCTTCACCTCCAGTCGGACCAGAGTCCGCTGGTATACAGTAGGAGCACGTTCAAAGTCATCCAGGAACTTCAGCATCTTATCATCCACTTTATAGATCTCTCCATGGACTCGCTGACCCTGGCCGGGGATGTTGAGGAGAAAAGGGACGTTGTACTTGCCAGCGATCACTAGTGGGTATTTCTCAGTGGTGAGGGCTGATCCGAGGAACTCAGCTGTTCCATTGGTGCCCTTAAGGATACGATAGTAGTTTGGCTGCCCTTTCTTCAGGGTGCCGTAGAAGAAGACACGAGTCATGTGGCTGCAGGAGGCCAAATATACCTGTGAAATACAGCAAAGAAGCAAATGTTAGCACATGTTTCTACTGGCAGTGACTGAAAATAAAAGTAGCCTACTCTTAATGCAAAATAAGATATAATCTATGTATTAATGGATAATACAATTTAAAGGTTGCAGTTGGTAAGGATGGGGCTAATTTTAATTGTATACTGTTGAGTGATGTGGATTTCCCCATGGGAATCAGTTAAATCTTATTCTATCTTAAGCTGCAATATTAAATTATATTTTTATGAATCTGAATCTATGGAATCATAAGAGTCATGGACGCCCACAGCTCACTCATGATGAGGTTGACTTAGTGTAGATTAAACTTTTAACCTCCATTTGTACTTTTCAAAACATTAAAATGTATATGAATCTTTGTTAAAATGGCTGAAAATGAGAAACACTGTCCATTGGTCTCCATGAAGAGAAAGAGTCAGGGGCTGTAGTGGTGATATCACACCTAGAGTGGTGAGGCTGTTGGATTTGTCTAAACAATTCTCTCTAATTCGTCCTCACGACCAGTTTTCACTCCTTCTACATAGGTTTTTCACTGAATTGTAGACACATCTGACAATCTTTTGCATTCATTATAATAACCCTGCAGTCCAAAAGTCCACGAATGCACGGTGCGTTTAAGGACACGTGGAAAACGTTTGGAAAAGTCTGCCAGAGGTATAAATGTGTAAAAAAAAAAAAAAAAAAAAAGACAGACAGACAGAAAGACAGAAGTGGAGACAAACAAAGACATGGACCATGAAAGGGTGACAGGCAGGAGAAAGAAACAGATTAGATATTCACACCCTTTAATGTTGTTCAGAGAGTGGTGTGAAAATGAGTACTGCGTCTCTTTTCTTCACTGATCACTTATAGAGCCTCAGGAATGTGTGAAATGGATTTGTGACTGAAGCGTTTAAAAATCATTTTCAACTTAGTGAGATGAATTAGCTACCATAGCTGTTTCCATAGCGTTACAGTAGGTATGTGAATGTGTTGGTGAGTGTGCGTATGTGTATCCCCCTTCTTTTCTCTCCCAAATGTCTGTTATTTCATTCATAATACGTCTTTCATGTGAATCCACTTTAGAGCGATCTTTCTAACATTCATGCTCATCAATACACCTTCTTCAAAGGAGGAGAGGTAACTGGTACCACTGGGTTTCACATCAAACGCACATCAGCAAAACCCATGTGGCACAAGCCATACAATAATGTATTACATTTGCTGAAACAGGCTGTTCATATCTCTTTGTCTGCGTTCACAGTGCCACATGAGAACAAGGAGAGCAGATCCATTCCAGGCTGGTGCATGTGCCTGTAAATAAAAAGGTTTTTTCCCCTGCACAAACAGAACAGAAAAAGGTGTCAAACACATGCAGTTGAGGATGGATATATTAGGTCATGCACAAAGTAAGATTTGAGAGGTGAGCATTGTATGCAAATTCTACTCTGGAAATAACCACACATGCAAGAATGCGAACCTTTGCACAGTCACTTTCACTCGTGTTGCTGTACCTGTGAGGACCTTCAATCACAGACCCCATAAGAGGTGAGAAATAGTGTAATCAAAGCCTCAAGGTTATTAGAAATATCTTTTGATGTTCAGCTTTGCCTTTATTTTATTGCCAGTTTTGTTTTTATCAACTGGTCAAATATTGAGGCATAGTAATTGGGGTTGTTTGACCACAACAGATATTTCAGATGAGTACCAACAGCAGCGGAGACGGTTTCTGGACCAATTTCAACAACAACAATATTACATATAACACACTCATTCACCTCATTTTTGTCAACAACCCTGCACACCAACACACCAAAGCATTCTCATCCCTCAACTTTCTGTTTCTTTTTTCTCAACACAAAAAATAATGATGCTGTTTTTGCTTGCTGCAACTGCATGAATATGACATGGGGAAAAAAATCGACTTCTTTTAGAGCTGCTCACTGGCTTTCTGGGAAATGCAAACCTTGATTAACAGACGTTCAGTCAGTACAATTCCTGCTTCACGTGCTTCCTTAACCTGGGTCAATTTTCTGATGTAAGGGTTGTACCAAAATAGTGGGCACATTAGAAATGTGAATTTACAATATTTTATCATGAAATAGCTGCATTCTTGATCAAAACTAGTTACACACTTTTGGGAATCAAAGAAAACAATAAAATGTCACCAATAACTGCACATTAGTAAGCTTCTGTCAGGTTTTCCCAGCTGCACCTGCCTCTCTCACCTCCCTCACTTTTGTTTCTTGGCGTCGGCCCCTGATCACCACACCTGCTCCACACCCCTTGATTGTCACCAGCTGCACTTCATTAGTTTTGCCCCTTACTTATACCCTGCTCACCCATCACTCCCTTGCCAGTTCGTTCCCGTTCCCAGGCCCTCTCTGTTTGCATTGTTGCTTTAACTTGATCTTTACCTATTCCCCTTGTTTATTGATTTATATAGTATTGGACTCTCTGCCGCCGCTCTCATCCCATGCTGTCTTCTTCCTCCATGGACTATTACCTCCAGACCTCGGCTCCTCTCAGCCCTTCCAGTCTCCACCAGTCAGGTCGATGCACAGTCACCAGTTACCATCTGTATAAACTCCGGTTTCTCTATCCCCTTAGTAACCTTCGTTGCCCATCGACCAGGAGTGACCCCAGCGACGCAGCTCGGCCTACCCCATCAACCTCATCACTGAACTGTTATCTGCCGCTGATCGACACCCGGTTTATTCAGCTCATCTACGCCTGCCTGTTCTTGCCATTCACTGCACTGTACAGAATAAATCACTGCTTGCACTATTGATCATATTGTGCCCTTAAAATGAAAAAAAGGAAAAGAACAACCCATGTCATTCTATAATATAAGAGACTTATACATAAAATTATATAATTCTGTAAGGAGTTGACTATCTTTGGATACTAGTTTTAAAGTTTCTAGATATTTCTTACATTCATTTTTAAAACAACTTAAAGATGGTGTAATGTTCTTCCATTTACATTTGTGTATATGAAATTTATCCATAGTAATAATATTTAACATCAGCGTCATATTTTTGAAAGGGGTCTCTGCATAAATCAAAATCTGGAACAAGCTAAATGATGGAGTATCATTTTTAGTATCAACATCCAACCAACTGAAAATTTCCTGCCAGAATCGTAGCACTATTGGACAATGGTAAAATAAATGTTCAATTGTTTCGTTTTCTTGAGAACAAAAAACACACAAGTCAACTTCAAACCAAAACCTTTTTCTTAATATTTCTGCCGGCGGGTAAAAGCTGTTTATAATCCTAAACTGCATATCTCTTATTTTGGGTAGTATTGCCCATTTAAGAAAACTACAAAATGTGTTCTTATATTTTACATTTTCAAAATGTTTAAAATTTGTCGGTGAATTGAAATCCGGATTTAATGTACTTTTTAATATATTCCCCATTAGTTTATTTTTACATTTTTTGTCCCCGATATATATTTCTCCAAGCTTTAGTTTGGGCAATTTAATAATCACATTTGAATATAAAAGGGTATTATGTATTAGTTGTTTTAACGGGATAGGGATGGCTTTACATACATAATTTAATTCTCTTACAGAGCATTTTAGATCAAATTTTTCCATAAATGAATTATGGTCAATTATCTGACCCTCATCATCTAACAGATCCACCACATAACAGACATTTTTATCAAACCATTCTTGTTTAAAAACTGTCTTTTTATTTAGTGTAATTGCTCTATTATTCCATAAGGTGGCATTATGAGGTATAAAGTTTGGAGTATGTATCATTTTCCAACAATATAAAATCTGTTTGTGGAAACCTGATATTTTAATTGGCAATTTAGAAACCTCAAAATCACATTTCAATAATAGTTCTAGACCACCTACTTTTTTAAATATACATTTGGGTATATGAAACCACATTGAATTTGGCTGAGCTAAATATGATTTTATCCAATTGAATTGCGGTACACCAACCATTGATTCATATTAACATGCTTTTAAACCTCCATTTTTATATTCTTTGATCATGTGAGATTTCTTTATATAGTGTGTTTTGTTTTTCCATATGAAGTTAAATATAATAGAATTTACTTTTTTAATTGTTTTAGGAGAAACATAAAGAGAATAACACGGGTAGACTAGTTTAGAAACGCCTTCCGCTTTACTTAATAGACTTCTACCCATAATGGACAGGTCTCTCATTAGCCAAGTTTAGAGATTTTTTCATATTTTCAATTCTTTCTTCTATATTGACTAATTCTCTTCTCTGTTGATTTTTGGATATTAATAAGCCTAAATATTTCACTTCAGATTTAACAGGAATGGATTCCATTTTTTCTTCATTACAAGTAAACAAAGGATAAAGTTAACCTTGTACCTAAGTGCAGTTGGTATAGCTTTAAACTAGAACGACTCTGATTTATTTATTACGCATGATGACGTAAGCACGTCCGCAGCCTAGCAGCAGAAAAGAATACGTAAACAAAGAGGCACCAATAAATCAGCTAACGCTAAATTACTGCTGTTTCGTGAGTAAAATGCTTAATGTAGCTGAACTGAGCTGTTTATGAAAACCCACTGTTTTACTGGTGAGCACAAGTTTCATTCATGTGATAACAGACTCACTTATGAGTTTAAACTGAAATTAAACGAGTTAGCAATATACCGTTATCATTAGCCATATTAGCATTAGCTGAGCTAAGGTAACGGGACAGATTTTGTATTTATGGAAATCGATCTTATAACGTTCATAGACAGCACATGGTTTCAGCCATTTGGTTCGTCAGCGCTGGTTAGGCTGGCCATTTAAAAAGCTGCTAATGTTTATGCTATCATGAGTTAGCTCGTTATGTAGCTCATTTAGGTTAAGAATTGTTCGGCTGGCTTAACAAGGCTGGATCGTGGTGGGACGCTCTGGGCTAGATTACCACTTGACTGCAGTCATCTGGACTTAAACTGCGATGTTTAGCCTGATGGCTAATTGCTGTAACTGTCTGAAACGCTGGCGAGAGCCCGCAAGGTAAGTTACTGTAGGTCCTAATATTTAGTCTAAAGCTTTCATTTTCCTGACCAAGTCAAATAGTGTGTTTCAGTAGTTTGCGGGAATGAGTTCCAGCCCATCTCTTCACACTGGTTCAACTCAGTTCAGTACTGAAGTATCTATAACCACTGAAAGATCTCATATATATCCACAGCACCATTCAATCTTAAGAATGTGTGCTTTCTTTACAGATGTGATGATTATTTCTATTCTGTTTATATTTTGTCTTTCTTGTTTCATTATAGCCATATACATGCAAAGAAAACAGCTGGAGTCTCAAAGGGCATGGGATGCACATTGCAAACATTTTTATTATGTCCATTATTATGGACCTGATCACCATCTGACAGTCTTCTGGTTATTATTTGCACTACTGTCACTGATTTAGTTACCTTTTAGTTTTATCCTAATTACTTTAATTTAGTTTTCTTATTCTATTTTAGTTTCTTAAATGGTATAGTATTCAATACTTGGTGAGAGAGAAACGGTATTCTGATTTTCTGTATGCACATATAGTGAATTGACAATAAAAATCTTTGAAATGTTAGTTGAATGAGGTTTTAAGAGAGCATAGTGTATAGGGAAGTACTTAACTCATTTACAGATATTCTTGAAGCTGAACTATAACTGCATTGATCAGTAAGTCAATCAAAAAAATCAACTATATGATAACAGATTCAGTGTCAGTCATTTTCAGGAAATGATGCCAAATATTTGTGGGTTCCTGCTTTTCTAATGTTAATATTTGCTGATTGTTTTATTTTATTTCATTTTACACTGAGTATCTTTGTTGTCTGAACAAAACAAGACAACAATGTTTCTGTGGTCTTTGAGAAGTTGCAATTGACATTTTTAATATCATCTAACATTTTATAGACCAAATAATGAGCCCATAAATGGAGAATATCATCTTCAGGTCAGTTGATGAAAACAAGTGTGAGTTGCAGCCTTATATGTTTTCATGTATTCCAGCCATTTTTCTTTTCTAAGAAATGAAGCAGTGTGTCTCTTTGGCTCTGTAAGGCTTACTTGAAGTATGTATTACCTGTGAGGTCCTTTGGGACTGGATAAAACATAGTGTGAATCAGCAGGTCCAGCTCAATATACAGTGCCTATAAAAAGTATTCACCCCCTTGGATGTTTTACCCTTTTATTGATTTTATAAATAAATCATGGTCAATATAATTTGGCGTTTTTGACAAAACAATTACAATAAAACGTCTTTAATGTCAAAGTGAAAACAGGTTTTTACAAAGTAATGTCAATCATCTGTTTCCACCTAACTCTATCCTCGGCATCCTCTACTCTCACCCCAATTAACTTCATGTCCTCTTTTAATACATCCATATATCTCCACGTTGGCCTTCCTCTTGACCTCTTGCCTGGCAGCTCCATCTCCAACATCCTTCTACCAATATAAACAC